GGGGGAGGAGTTAAAATACAGATTGACATTCATGGCATTCAAGGACATCCCGAATTTACAGTCCGTCTACTGTTCACCCTCCCACCGTGGCAGCCGGTGTCTTCATTGGCAAGTTTGTGCTAAAACAACTGGGCAGCCTCTCTATTCTCCTCTTTAGAGTTCACTACTTTGGAATTAATCTGGTAAAACCTTGAAGAAGGAATTGGACAGACAAAAACAGACTTTCTGTCTCCTTCCTATCCCTTGCCAGTCCAAAGCATGTACACCAGAGGAATCCTAAGGCTTCTATTTGCATATGGTTGGAGAATAAGTATTCCCTGAAAGCTGTGTTTAGAGGAACTGCCAGATGAGCTCGGCCACAAGAAGTCAGTCACCTAATCTAAAGAGGCCCTAGTAAAGGAGAGAACAAGGCTGAAGCCAGAGATCAGCTGAGTGAGCCAGCAGTTCTGAGAGGAAGACAGGAGAATGGAACAACTCCTAGGTGATGAGCAAGCCTTGACAAGCCATGGGTGTGCGTGCACACATTTTTTCCATGAGGAAGATTGTGAAGAGAGGGTGATAAGGTCTCTGTAGCCTCAGGAAGGAATGTGGTGGGGGAGCGGTGAGGAGTGGGATTGGAGACATCACTATCGCTTCGCTCTGGAGAGCTCTCCAGAGTGTGAGCAATGCCAGCCAGGAAGAAGAGAAAGGGCATCTCAGGAAGACTGGGATGGCTACAAGGTAAAGAATATGGTCTGGAGCCAAACTGGGGCCGGGGGACCTTGAACTTCAGTCAGCCTCACTCTCTACACTAAAGAACCACTGACGTTCTTGACCAGAGCAGCAGAATCAAAACACACCGTGGTCTACGAGATGAAACTGAGGTGGAAGAGCAGATGAATAATAAATAGAACACATAACACAATTTCCGCCTGTGGTTTCCTGAAGGCTCCATGTTGCTCCCCGAAGTATCTGGAGAAGCATGTATAGTTTTTACAAGACAGCCTATGTGTTTATAAGCTCACTTGTATGCAAAATTACTTGAGGAAACACGCAAAAAAGTCATTCCATCATTATATATACAATACTGTTTTAGCACAATAAGTGCATATTAGTATCTCAAATAACTATTAGCTGTTTGGGGCAGAAACCATCTAAAATCATATTTTTAAAACTTTTTTATACTGCTTAAAGTTTTTTTTTTCATTTTTTTTTTTTTTGAAACAAAAGCTTGCTATGTAGCCCAAGCTGGCCTCAAACTCCTGCCTCTTGTCTCAACCTCCCGAGTGCTGGGATCACAGATGTGCAGCACCACACACAACTCTCTTGAGTCATCTTTGAATCTCCTTCCCCTAGCATTGACCTAGACAGGAATGCTCAGTAGCAATTCAGAGAATGAGTATCCTTAGCACAGCAGTAGATACAAATTAGCTACCTGGCTAGTTTTATGTCAACTTGACGCAAACTAGAGTCATCTGAGAGGA